AAGTTTCAGCATCCTTTGTTTTAGTACTTTGTATCGTATATTTTTGCGAATGAAAAGCAACAAGTAACGTAAGATGACAAATTAAAATAAGCGTTTCAGAATATATACTAAACTATATATATAAAATATAAATTATTCCTAATGTATTGTTACCACCAATATATACAGTGATTAATTTCCAAATTGCCAACTTTTGTTACGCCAATATTAACATCAAATTTAGTACTATTCACTAGATNTAACAAAGAAACCGCAAAATACATTCCTTACTCATCACACAGTGTATCTGACGTATTAAACATATATGGAATATTGCGCACAATCACACTCACAGTTGATTAAGTAATCTTNAATAAATGATAATAGCATCGACGTTACGTCTTACCTTCTTCTTGATATAAATATAATCGCGAGATAAATTTGTCTATACGAAATCTTATTCATCTGTAATAAGTTGAAAAAATTATAATAACAAAATTATAATAGCTCGTGATATAAAATTTAAAAAAAGTTTATTTTTCTTTTAATGTACATACATACAAACGATCACACAGAAGTTTTCGACGTCATAAACCAATGCTCGAATCTTGCAAAGAAGCAAAGTACANGGTAGTAGCGTTTCAATTCAAACGTAAACTGATTTTATGTTTGTCGACAATTTTATATTGCGCAAAAGTAATAACTGTCATCTGTTTAACCTAGACGTTTAATGTACAAAATATGAAAATTACTCTCAAAATAATTTTTGAAATATATTTTTTCTCTTTATATAAAGAGAAAAATCTGCAAATTAATTGTCATATAATAACAGTCGTTACTTTAATTTTACACGTATTTGAAAGTTATTTTTATATCGAATGGCTCAGAACAAAATNGCATGGCCCACGCTAAGCACAGAACGTGATTAACGGCGAAGAACGATGTGACAGTGTTACCTTTCCGTCTTATTATCTAAAAAGATCGTAANCATTATAAACAGTACCAAGATTGTTATACGTATATAACAAATGATAAACAAGTCGTGCCAAAAAAACATGTAATCGTTCACTTATAACATTAAAGTTTTGATATATATTCTATGTGATTTGTAAAGTCACAAGTAAACAAAGATAATGTCTANAGTTCAAGATTTTCCGTTTGTGTAACGCCATCGCATTCACTTTGACAACAAGAAAAAAATATAAAAAACACATCAGGAACACACTTTTGAAATTACTAATGATTATATAGTATGTAATCTCTTTTGATAGCTGTGTTTAATCGGTGGGTTTAATCGGTAATAGTAACTCAATGTACTTGTGCTCAAAAGCGTATCTCGTAAAAACTTAAAAAATTAAAAACATACGTATATTAATTAAAGTTATATTATAATATATTATTCGCACTCCCCTTATCCTCATTTTAAGGCGGCAAGATTCTTAACTTTGTAGATTTCTCTGAAATATAAAAACGTGTTATATATAAAAATGTGTTATATATAAAAATGTGTTATGTTACTCTATAATAACATATTCGACATTTAATACATATATATATTATATACAGGGTGTCCCAGAATTGCCGTACAATCTCTCGTAGGCAGGTAGAAGGAGTAAAACTGAGTCAAAAAGACCTGAACCATTTTTTTCTATTATTTATAATAAAGGAGTAATTATTGAGTAAATCAGGCCAATCAGCGCAGATCTTTAGCCAGACTCACGTCAGTGAGCGCTCACACACACTAGGCGCGCGGCTCACTGACGTGCGTCTGGCTAAAGGTCTGCGCTGATTGGCCTGATTTACTCAATAATTACTTCTTTATTATAAATAATAGAAAAAAATGGTCCAGGACTTTTTGACTCAGTTTTGCTCCTTCTACCTGCCTACGAGAGATTGTACGGCAATTCTGGGACACCCTGTATATATATATATATATATATATATTTATATATACTATATAATGATAATACTTTTTTTTGCCTATATAATAACATATATATATTATAATACATATATATACATATATATACTTACATTTTACAACTGAGAAAGAGAGAGAGAGAGAGAGAGAGAGA